GGTTGATTGCCATATTTTTTCCTAGTTAATATTTTCAGTGCATAATAAATTATGTGTTAAACAGAAGCTTACTGTCTCTTTTCCTCCTGGCTCCTTTAAAGCTTTCCTATGAAGACAGTTTATCCTTGTGATATTAGTAAATCTTTAGATAAGTCTGAAAACCCCGAGACCCCCCCATGGTACTAGTGTACTGATAAATACTTTTGCTACACCCATTTTTTACATGGACTTCCCTTTGCAGGAGATAAGGATTCTGATGGAAATGTATTGTTTATTGTAAAACAATCTCTACAGGATCTCTGAAAACAATATAGGTGTAAAATAACATTTGAAATTACTTTTTAAAATCTTTTTTAGCTGTTTATCACCCCCTGTTGTGTTTTTCAGTTACGATGCCCAAACTGTCTACCCAAACTCTACATTGAGCTTTTTTGGGAAGGATTCTTCTTTACTTTGTTTATAGAGTATTTAACATACTGAAGTCCATAACTAGTAGTAACACTGCACGAATGGATAATGTATGCACATGCAGGTACACAAGAACTCAAGTAGCTTATACATTAAAATACATACTTATAAATGGATATATGTATGTATAGTGTATGTAACATACACCTTGTAATTATATTGACACCTTTAACAGTGAATGAGAGAAAAAAAGAAATTCTGAACATCACTGTAATCCTTGGATCAAAACAGAACTGTAAAGTGCAAATTCTGTCATAATTTTTTCCATGTGTTTGTCACAACTTATATTATCCTCATATTTATTCAGTAGCCTCACTAAGTTTTTGATCTTTCTTTTTAATCAAAAAGAATTAGCAAGTTATTTATAGAGTACCAGAGAATTCTAATATCTTCTAAAAAATCAAAAGTGTTCTTTATTATCTTCCACTAAAAAAATGGTTAACTGATGTGGCCTACTATGGAGTTTTTAAGTAAAATTTATTGTATAATTCTTTAACCATAGTTAATTCAGGTAGTGCCAAACAAAAATGAAGCTTCAGTGAGTCAGTCACAGCATAACAATTTCTAAAGTCTTGCCTTCAAGGATGCAAGAAGATGATAATACTAGGAAACGTCTTTTATTAAGTTGTGCTTTCCTCATAGAAAGTGGAGAGCAGATTCTGCATATACAAAGTGGAATTAATCTCATTTAGGCATCTGAAAGTTAAGATTTCAGTATAAATTCACCACCAAAGATCCTTCTGTCATGGGAGGAGAGTGCACCTCCAAGCAGAAAGTCACCACAACCTAAACCATCTATTATCATTAGGATGAATCCTCAAATGAAGCTATTTCTCTCTTTCATTAACTACAGGAGACCTATGTTGCCACCTGAACTAAATAGCTAATTTTCAGGTAGCTAAATACAGGCAAGAGCAATCCGATCAGATTCTGGTTTAGAGTCTGAGAGAAATGCAACAAGAATGGTCCAGACAGCAGTAGACTTAATAAAGGTAACAGAACATGGGACCTACATATTATGACTTCATAGCTTAGTTTAGATACTGACTACTCCAGCTGCTGTTCAATTTATTACTGTCATTTATAAGGAAATCACATTAAGTAATTTCAATACTGAGGAAGATGTAATGCAATTTGTAACTCCTCGTCTTGAATAAATGTTGGTCATTGGCAGTGTATCTTTTTTTTATAAGATGTAATACTAAAAATAGCAATATTTAGCAACAAAATCTGTTTTTTGTGCCATTTTAATGAAAAGGCAAACTTCTTACATTTACTGATTCCTTGTCCTTGACACCCTGCATTTTAATAAAGTAAAAGAATTGTGATTTTTGATAACCTATCAATTAATGAGTCTTTAAGAGCTAAGGTCTTTAGCCCGTTTAAATGTTTGACTAACTTGAAAAACAATTTCAGTAGCAACTTATTAAAAACTAGCTAGGCAACTTCATTTTTTTTTCAAAAGTTTATTGCTGTTGCTGTAAACAGGCTTTAAAGCTTTCAGTTCTAGCTTGCATTTCATTTCTTTGAATTGATCACTGAAATGTTCTATTTATCCATTATTTTAAAGCCTTGATGATAACGAGAACATGCAGATCTAGCTTTTCTTTTTTTTTTTTTTTTTTTTTTTTTTTTTTGTAAAGTCACTTGTTGCTCAGGAACAGATGAGAATTTAAGCTTAAGAACGTTCAAAAGTACATTTCCAATCTTCTTTGCTTGTTTGTTTTCATTTCTAGTTTCATGCCTTCTACTCTTTGCTTCTCTTCATGATGACCCAAAAAAACTTTATAATTATATTATAGACCTCACACAAAGTCTTGATTGTGTCAGCACAAGCTGACTGTTATGTGTCAGATATACACTTCATTAATTTATTATTCAGGCCTAGGGGAAGAAAGGTAATACATTCCAGCAATGTACAGACAAAACAAAAACATGTACTTAAGTTGCACAAAGTCAAAATATGAGATAGCTTAAATGCTGGAAGCAGCACTTTTGATATTCACTAACATTAAGGGATGTCCAGCACAAAAACATACATATTAAACACATAATTCTTTACCTTCCTGAAAATTTTAACATTCTTTCTAATTATGCA